TTAATGAAACCAATTGGAAGCCAAAGGGCAAGGTACCTCTAGAGCAATCCTAAGGTCTGGGTGGAGAATGGATTGGGGGTGGTTTGTGGAATAATTAGCATCATGCTCAGTAAATGTTTGCTGTTTGGGATAGCAACCATTTACACCTTAGTATGAATAAATATATGGAATTATTTTAACAGTAAGCTTTGCTAGGAAGCAATATGGAATAGGAGGACCCTGGGAACTTTGGCTGTGGCAAATAGTGGAGCAAACTAAAAAAATTATTTGCCTTATTGACAATTCTGTAGAAGATGCCCTGGTTATGGGCATCTGAGTTAGTATGTTTCCAGGGCTCTATTCCTTCATCACTGTTAGAATAAGACATAACACTTGTTAGTGCTTGACAGCTTACAATGTATTTCAAAAGTATTATCTCATTTAACTCTCACTTCAACCCACTGAAAGCTGCTAAGGAGTACTGATCATCAGGAATTATTAGAAATAAAGAAATTGAAACTCATTAAAAAAGAAGAAGAAATGAATAGAAAACTTGCCCACAGTCAAAGAATCTGAACGTACCAAGGCCAGGATTCAGACTCAGTGGTCATTGTTTTATCCGGCTTGTTCACAAAATATAGAAATAGGTTTAGATGTTTGCAAAAGTTTCTTCGAGCTTAAGCATCTATGTTCTCTGCAATGTATCTCCATAACATGAGAAGCAGTTTCTGTAGTAGCTAGGGGCTGGAGTCCAGCTGTCCATCACCTGTATGGTGGTCATCTTGACTCTGGGCTAGGCCAGCCTGTCCCCATAGGATTTGATTCTTCCCCCATTCTATGAGATAGAGAGCCCTGTGCCTTTTTACAGATAAAGATCTAAGGCTTGGGTGAGGTTACTCTGCTGGAATGAGGTAGGACTAGCAACCCAGGTCTCTGTGCTCCAGAGTATGTGCTCTGCCAATCACCTGCCCAGACTCTGAGAGGCTGGAGGAAGCCCTGCCTTGGAGAAGGTGCCAAGCCAACTGCAGTATCAAACCCACAGACAGCTGCAGGGAATAGGAAGTTCAGCATGCTGGAAGTCCTCCCTCAGGCGCAATGTCAGGGGGACACACACAGACTCTAAAAGGACCATGTCAGCAATCAGTGGCTGAATTAATCACAAAACACTGGATTTCTAGTATTGGCTGCACTGGAACATAGTAGTTGCTGCATAAAGATGTACTCAATGATGTTGCATGAGAAAGGAGCTTGTGTGAGAGCTAGAAGATGGAGATGGCTGGAAAGGTACCCTTCCAGCACAGTGCTGGCTCTTAACCCATTTTCTTTGTGGTTGTCTGTTAGGTTTTACAGCCAAGCCTTTTGAAGCACAACATACCCTGTCCTCCACACACCTTCCTAGAGTGAACTACCCACTTATATAATACAGATCTCCACTTATGAGCAGGCAGGTAGCTGACTGGCCTTGACTCCAGCTAGGGCCTCTCCCCAAGCACCAGCCCACACATCTGAGTGTGGTCCACAGGCCCAGAAATTCTGCTCCACATCTTTGCTCAGTGTGGTCCACAGGTCCGTGGATTTCAATATAATCTCAATCCTAACCACACATTTGTTTCCCTATCTGTATTTCTCATCTCAGTTAAGGCATGCCACCTCTCCAGTTACCCAAACTGAAGATATTGTAGCTGTCTCTAGCTACCCTCCTGCTTGTTCATCACCACATTCTACAAAATCTCCCTTGGCTCCTTCCTCCTCTCAATGCCCACTGTCAGTGCCTCGGTCTGACTCTTGACTCTTTTACTTGGATCACCTACAGGCTTCCATGGTCTATTCTGGCTTCTGTGCCATCCCCAGATGTCCTCCTCAGATCTATGTCTCAGCAGGTCACCCTGCCACCCTGGCTTGTTCCTCACTGAGAGATACCCACTATGTGTTCAGGGCTATTTGTTCCAACATGTCTGCCTAACTGGTTTCTACCATTTGCCTCTAGAACCCCCCACACCCACCCAGGACTTCCAGATACACCATTACTGTCTGTCCCTCTGTTCCTTTGGTCTTCCTAAAAGCCGTTAGGAATAGTCACAACCCCACCCCCAACCCAACCACACCCCCACTTTCACCACACCCCCACTTCCACCACCACCACTCACCTCACTCACCCTTGTCCCTTCCTGGACAAGGTCAAAATTTATCACTTTGTTACCTTCACAATTTGCATTCATATGTTACTGCTAACATAGGACCTCATTCATCCAGTCAGTCAGTCATTAACAAGCCTATACTAAATACTTTCCGACAGTAGGCATCTCTCTAGGCCCTAGGAATAAGTAAATGAATAGCACCTATTGCCCTGATTGGTTATTGATGTGTGAGAATCACCTGTGGTCTTGACCTTCACTGCTCCAGAACAGATCTAATACACTGTATCTCAGACATGGGTATACTGCCTTATACCTAAGGTGGCAATAAACCAGAATGGTTGGAGAGTTTGAATATAGCCTATTAGGTGCTACTAGATCATTTTTATTTTGTTTTAGAAGTGATAATGTCTCTATAGTATATATGAAAATAATCTTGTTTCTACAGAGATGCAAGTTGAAGGATTTTATGTGAAGGGGTTCAAATAAAAATATATGTAAATTATAAGCAAATGTGTCAAAATGTTAACAGTGGTTGCATCCAGGGACTGTGTAATGTCTTTATATTTGAAATTTTTCATAATAAAATGTTTCTTAAAGGGCGAATTGACTTGAATTCATTGGGTCCATTTTCTCATCTATCCAATTGGAGGGTGTCTTCATCTGATCTGGTTGCTCTAACACAATGCTATAGACTGGGTGGCTTAAAACAACAGAAATGTATTGTTCACAGTTCTGGAGGCTGAAAGTCCAAGATCAGGGTGCCAGCATAGTCTGTTTCTGGTGAGGACACTTCCTGGTCACTTCTCATTGTGTCCTCACATGGCAGAAGGGGTTAAGGATCTCTCTGGAGCTTCTTTTTTAAGGTGCTATTCCCGTCCCTGAGGGCTCCACCCTCATGAGTTAACCACCTTGCAAAGGGCCCACCTTCTAATAGCATTAAATTGAGCATTAGGATTGGACTGGGGGGAGGGGACACAAACACTCAGGCCATAGCAGGGTGTCGGTGGGAGTGGCAGCTAATGATCTCTTTTTTTTTTTTTTCCTTTATTGATTTTAGAGAAAGAGGAAGGAAGAAGGAGAGAGAGATAGAAACATCAATGAGAGAGAACATAGATTGGCCACCTCCTGCAGCACCCCCGCTGGGGATTTGGCCCACAACCTGGGCATGTGCCCTGACTGGGAATCAAACCAGCGACTTCTTCCTGCATGAATCCAGGCTCAACCACTGAGCCACACCGACTGGGCAGATCTCTCTCTTTAAAAAAAAAAAAAAAAAAAAGCCTCTGTGTGGATATTTTTCCATTTATTTTCAGATAGAGTGGGAGGGGAAGAGAGAGAGATGGTTAGAGAGAGAGAGAAACATCAATGTGGGAAAGAAACATCGACTTGTTGCCTCCCACACCACCCCAACCAGGGCTGGCACAGAACCGCAACTGTTGAGACCTAACCGCAACTGAGGTACGTGCCCTTGACCGGAATAGAACCCAAGACACTTTTGTCTGCGGGTCGACCCTCTAACCGCTGAACCAAACCGGCCAGGGCAGGCAGCTAGTGATCTCTTAAGGCCCCATCCAGCCCCAGTGGCTCAGGGCAGGAACCACCCTCCACGAGCCCTGGAGCTGAGTCCTTCCCAGAAGGCCCTTTGGGGTCCAGGATTCTGGAAGTAAATTGCTTTTGGCTTCAACATTCCTGCATGTCAAATGAGGCTTGTTGGCACCAGTGACTGTAGGGGAAGAACTGTGTGTTTGTTTCTGTGTGGTCAATTGAGAAGGAAGGCAGACAGAAGTGGGCACGATTTAAGCGATCAAGTCAATATGCTGAAACCAAGTTGAGTCAGGAGAGATTTCAGGTCAAGTTACAGCTCTTTGGAAACATGGTTCACAACAGGGCAGTCAGCAGTTGCTAGTAATCGGTAGAACCAATCACTTGTTATGTGCAGGAGGGTATGCACTAGCAAATCTCTATCCCAAAAGGTTTACATCTTTTAAAGGGCTGGAATGAAGGGTCTGTTCCGATCTTTCACCTGCTCGAGAGACTCCTTCAGTTTTGTAAAGAGTTCTACCGAATCCCTGAGAAGCGCCACCCCAAACCTCCTTCTTCAGAGGTCTAAAACATGCAGAACTGTATCTTCCCATATGGGTATCTGTGCAAGAGGGAGGTGAATAGAATCCCCCTCAGCCATGGCTCGGTTCCCTCTTTCCTTTCTTACTTTGAGAAAGTCCCTTACCTACGGCTAAACGATTGTCAATGAAGTCCACACGGTTCCTTCACTCCTCGATTCTGATGCCCTTCGTTCTTACTGCCCCCGAATGTCCTTGATACAGCCAGGAGGCAACCTAACTGGAAGGAAGCAAATGTGCCTCTGGTGTGTCGGAGCGTCAGCGGCAACGTCCTCACCTCTGTAAGGAAGTCAGAACCGACGTGGGGGCTCCAGCCCCAGAGCTGACCGGGTGCGGCTTGGGGGGTCTCTAATGCACACACCCTGTGCCTAGCTCTCCCCACCTGTGACCTGGGTTTAAAACAGCACATCCGCCTTTCCACAGTCAAAGCAGTTTTGTCGGGGTTGATGATGTCAACTGCCCCAACCTCCAGAAAGTGCAAGACAAACGTAGGCTGACACGCGACCATCAAGTGACCCGTGGAACATCTGGGGTTCCAGGGTCGTCGGTACCGATCTCTGTAGCGATCTCGGAGAAGCGCTCCCCTCGAAGGGATCCGAAAGGTTGTGGACCCCGGCGCGCTCCCAGAACGCTGAGCTGCGACCTTCGGCAGAGGCGAGCCCGTGGCCAAGGCTCTGGTCCCGCGCGGGGCAGACCGCGGTGGGGCGGGGCGAGCGGCGGCCTTTTAAGAGGCGGTGCGAGCGGTTAGAGGCCGCGGCTGCGAGGGGACCCGAACCATGGAGATGGCCCGGGACTGCGCGGGAGCCCTCATCAGGCGAGTTCCGCGCTAGCCAGGTTCAGCACCACGCCTGAGGCCCCACGTACCCGGCGTCCGGAGCGCCCGCAACTTCCTGGGCCCGGCACCCCCATGAGCCCCTCACTCCCTTCCCATCTGCGACCCCTCTCCCCCTGCACCCCGTCGCGCCACGCATTCCCGCGCTCTCCGAGGCCGAGTTCGCGCGCACTCACCCCCTCCCCTGGCGCCCACGCCGGCCAGCTGGGTAGGCAGAGCCCGAGCCGTCGCGCATCTCCTCCCCCTCCTCTAGCTGGCTGTAGGTGTCAGGCATGTCCTGCCCGAGGTGCGCGGGCGTCCGCGGAACAAGTGACAATGGTGAGTGCAGGAGTGGCCGCATCTTTTGCCTTAGCGGCGGACACAGATGAGGGCGCCGTCCCAGAAACCCAGGGCAACACTTCCATGGTACGTGGGGACAGGACTTCTCGGCGTCCTCCGGCTCGCGACGGGAGCTAGGGCGGGGAGAAGCGCTGGTGTGGACGCTCGGCGGCCTCGGGCGGCCCAGGCTTACCCCTTAGGGCGAGTGCGGGCTGTGGGCTCCAGCTGGAGGGTTGGCTGATCTCGGCTGCGCCTAAACGCTCCCTGGCCCCACTTTGTTGAGCCCACCCGAATTTGTAAGGGGGAGTGGAGGGAAACCGCTGCATCCGAAGGTGGTGACGCTACCCAGGCAGGAACCAGAGACCCCCAGATCCCGCAGCCTCTTTGCCCCGCTCCTTTCCTTTCCCCTTCTTGGGTTCATTTCAGATCCTGACATACCAAACCAATCCTTGATAAATCCTAAAGATTCTGTGGTAGTAACTTTATAGATTTAAGGGAGAGATTATGTTTCTCTGAAGATCTCTAAAGTACTTCAAAGAGGATGGAAAAACCCGTGATTACTTTAAAATGCAGGTTCTCAGAGATGATGGGTCCCATTTGTTTGGAGGGATAGGGACAGGGTGGGTGAAAGGGAAAGGAGAATCACTACAAAACTAGTGATCTATAGGCTCTGAACTTGGGTTCTTAAAGGGGCTATGTGTAATGTTCAGAATCAGAAAAATAGCCGCCAAAATGTAAAGGTAATCAATCTGGACTCTACTGGCTTTCTCTTTTAAAACGAACAAACGAAAATGGAAGTCAAGTGGTGGGATTCTGGGAAGGTGCAAAACAGACTTGATTCATGCATCTTCCCTAACATGGTTTAAGCATAAAGGTAAGGCTTTTGGTTTCTTTCTTGTTTTACTGCTCTTTCCATCACCACCCACCCCACACTCCCACTCCCAGATGTAACAGCTGAACAGTTTGGAGTGCATCCTCCAAACCTTTCTTCCATGAACATTTAAACACCCACTCTCCAAGTTCCTCAGAGCACTACGGAGCTGGTGGGCTGAGTTTTGGGGATGGGTAAGAGGGCATTGATTCCTTGCTGGCATTGCCTAGAGCAGGAGGAGGAGGCAACACCTGCAGAATTAAAACTGACCCTGCTGGCCTAGCCAGTGTGGCTCAGTGGCTGATCATCAACCCATGCACCAAGAGGTCGCCAGTTCAATTCCTGACCTGGGCACATGCCCAGGTTGTGGGCCAGATCCCCAGTGGGGAATATGCAGGAGGTGACCAGTCAATGTTCTCTCTCATTAATGTTTCTATCTCTCTCTCCCTTTCCCTTCTTCTCTCTCTAAAATCAATAAAGAAAAAAAAAAAAAAAAACTGACCCTGCACTTGTATCTGATCCCTGTAACAGTGTCCCAAATCCAAAATGTATTTGTGTGAGGCTTCCTCGGGGTCAAGTGTATGGTGGAAGCAACTGGCTTATAAAATATTGCACATCAAACCATAAGGAAATATCTTGTCTTCTGAAACACATTCCTTCTGAACTTGACAAGCTCTAGGTGTGATTGGCTATTTGTTGGGACACACTGTTGTCATACTTCTTTGAAATCTACCTGTTTCCAAACTGGGCTACTATCATTCTTTAGAATCTATCTGCTTTCATACTAAATAGGAAGAAAACAATCTGAAATACTTGTTGAAAGGAACACACTTTTCTTCCTGGCCCTTCTTTAAAACCGTGTCCATGTGAGCCTGGTGACTGCCACATTTATAATTGCAATCTTGCAGGACTTCTGTCTCCTCTCAGTGCTTCTTAATTTAAATTAGCTGGTAGAATATGTCCTTTTATTAGTAAATAGCTGCATTTTGCCAAGGAAGTAACTTAATCACATCTTTTTAAAAAATCAGCTACAGGTAAGCAGTTATTAAATCTTAAACCAGTTTTTAGTTCATTAATCATCTGTAATCACTAAAGGCCTTAGTCATAACAAAAACAGTTTGAAGTCTCTTAGCACACTCTGGACTTCAAGGATGTCCACATGTGGGTTGTCCCAGACAAAGCCTGCCCTGTCTTTATGCCCTGTCAGTGATAACATTTATGCCAACTCTGAAGTTCTTATAAAGCTGATGTATTATAGTTTTGTCAAAATGGTTGCTTTGGTAGCTGTTTAGTACATCTTTCCTTTTCTTGAACAAGGAACTCTAGGTTTTGTCTAGCCATTTTAGTACAAATTTTTACCACAGTAGTCTTAGGGATATAAGCAAGGAACTGAATTTCCTGCAAGCAAATTTCCACAGTTCATGGAAAAATCTCCAAGGCTGGTGGTTACTTCCCAAGCTGTCCTATTTCTCTGCATTCCCGTATTTGCCATCAACAATTCCCTTCTTATCATTCTCTTTGTCACTCTTAGCTTTGGCAATAGTGCTCAGCTGACTTATATCCTATCCCTTTATTACTTCATGTGGGTTTCTCTTTTTCCACCTAGCAATAAAATGTGGGTTTCCCTCAGTCATTGGTTCACTCGGAATAATTCCAGGGCATTATCTTACCTGGCCTTATGGAGTCACCTCATCACTGCTGACACCAAAATGTTTCTCTGTCTGAGAGAAACCTTGTTCCTGGATCTGCCTTCTCCTCCAGCACTTTCAGAATAAACAGCAATCCATAGGGTGCCATATAAAGACACTTTCTTATGCCGGTGGGAGTTAGCACTGTTTTACTGGAGGAAAGGTCATGTCCACTATCAGTCTGTGCTTGTTTCTTTACTTCACACATTTTTACAAGTTGAGGACTCCTCAGTTCCCTTGAGGAAAAATACAGACTCTGTTTCTTTCAATTCTGAAAGATGTGTCTCTTCACAATTGTCAAGATTAATTCTATGAAGTCTGGCTTCTCTTATCGTCTTGATTTCCCTGAAACAGTCTATTTCCTTGAACGGCAAAGCATATTTCCTTGTTTGTTTGTTTTTTTCCTTTTAGTGAGTTGTTTCCCTTCCTGCTTCATATGTTTGTCTGCACTTTTCCAGGAGTTTGAGGTGACTGACATGTGAGGTATCTAAAAGCAGAATTCTAAGGGCTTCTCAGTGTTCCTATTTCAACATTTATATATTAAGAAATTGAAGAGAGGTAGCAACACATTTTAGGCATTGTGCTAATGGCCAATGACATAAATTATTCTGTCAAGAAAACCAAAAACAAGTTAGATTAATATACAGGGTGGGTCAAAAGTAAGTTTATAGTTGTTTGTATGGAAAATAATACAATAATAAATAATAATGCAAGAATAAACTCTCTTTCCCTTATTCACAACTGTAAACCTACATTTGCCCCACCCCGTATTGTTTGGCTCATGTAGCTAGCTGGTTAACCCTGCTGTTCATCTAGCTGGAATAGAGTGAATACTCATATAGTATTGATTAAATAGGTTAAGTGTATGTAAAATTTCACTTAACCCTCTTTTATATTGTATAGAAGACAGTCTTGATTTTATATAATTTTGCACATCAAATCACTCATCCTGTTCTTTAAAAAGAAGGCCAGAATTTAATTTTTATTTCTTCAAATTTTTATGTGTGCTTTATAAGCCTTTTTTCCAACAATGACCCAGTTCTTGTGTAATGGGTAAGACAAACAATAGACTGTACAGTCGTCCCTCTCCACTTCGCTACGCTTTTTTAAAAAATCAAGAATGACTATCTTGAGGGAAGTGTGAAGAGGGAGGACCAGAAATGACTGCCAGCTCTTGTCTTGTCAGAAGTTAAAGGACAATAAGACCTTTGTATAATCAACAGTGCTAGGTCACTGGAGCATTGGTGCTTACTAAGGTGTGAGCCTTTATATCTAGTGGGGAGATATGGGACCACAACAAGTAGGTCAAAGCTGTCCATGCCCACAAGCTGTGCCACTGGCCACCAGGGCCTGGACATAACATTCCAAGATATAATGAACTTTGTTCTCCCATTTCTCTGATTTTGTCCTAGCCTATCTTTTACTCAGTGACTAGGTAATGTGCCAACAGGGAGCGAGGTGCTGTGGGGAAGTAAGAAATGTACACACAGACCCTGGTCTCTGTTAGCATAGATTCTAGAAGGCATTGTGGGCAAATAACTTTCCATTTTGAGGGAGGAAAAGCTGTTGCCCTTGAGGGTCCAGGGTTCACCTCTGCTATAGGAGATTTTGTACCTGGTAGGGCAGGCACCATGGTGCAAAAGTGAGAGCTGGATTTGAACCCCTGTGCTAGCACTTGCTAACTCTGATTTTACTAATCTCTTAATGTCCTGGGCCTCAGTTTTCATCTGTAGTACTTGTGCCATAGATTTACTAGACAATGTGCTAAGTTATACAGTGTCTGGCACAGAGTGAACACGTATCTTTCTCTCTCTCCTCCTCACAAGGACTTTGCTAGTGACTTTCAGTTTCAGATGCTATGTTAAGGGTGGGAGCAAAGCCAGGTTCTAAATGTAAAGCATAATAAGGATGATATTCACTGCCCTGTCCACCAGGTTGCCAGGGATGAAACTGTGAGCAGATTCTCTGTAGCATCAGCTCAGCAGAGGGTGGAAATGTTGTTCACTGTGTTGTGTAAACAAAGAGTCTGGTGTAATTTTTGAGAATCAGGACAGGTGTTCAGAGGCTGATGCCTGTCCCACTGCTGTGTGGGTTCAGGCTCTGATTTACTCAGGGGTCTCTTGTCATTCTGATGGGGAGCCCACAGTGGAGACCATTGACCTGGCTCTATCCCCTTGCAGTTGCCTCCCTGGAAACAAAGTATGCAGTGACTCTGGTGGTCTAAAGGAAAAGGGGCTGAGAGTGTGAACTGAGAACACTGCTGTCCTTCCAGCCATAAAGCAACTCTTCCTCGAGATGTTCCTCACTGATGTTTACTGCTTAAGGTTTGAAGTTCAGAGAGACGACGTCCCATCTCTTTTCCTTTTTAACTGGGTGTCCTTGAGAAGCCACTTTGAGCTTCAGTTTTCTCATCTGAGAAATGGGTAATACTTTCCCTGTAAAGTTGTGATGATAATTAGTTAATATATGTAAAGAGCTAGCATATTGCTGGCTGTAGCAAGTGCTTAGATAGGCGCATTTATGAGGTACTAATGTGATGATGACTGAGTATATTTCAGGCCAAATACTTGCTAATAATCCAGGTCTGTAACCAGAATGTCAATTTGTTGATGAGTTAAGGGATGAGGCACAGATAGTCATTATTTGGGGCCACTCCTGAAACTGCTGGTAGCATAAACTTAATCTGACAGTGTTTGAGAGCTGGTTCATTATGATATGATCAGTTTTTTATCTAGTAAATTACTTGGTGCATATGTCCATTTATAGAAATTCAATTTAGACAACATACTATGTAAAAGTTCTACACCTAGCACTAAGCTAGGCATTATGGGAGATATAACAAAGAAGCCTTTGTCCATAAGGAAATTCCAATTTAGTAGGGAAAATAAAGCATAGATAAATAAATGACATTGTATGTGATAGGCATTTAAAAACAGTACAGGTGTTCTCTAGAATTTTAACCTTCATTGGGTTAATCTAAACAAAATGTTGTGTCAGAAAGCAGTCAGGCCCTTACTTTGTATCCTCTACAAGGTTGTCCTTTGTGTCATTCTCTAGAATCTCATTGTGCAAGTATTTGTCCAAATTGTCAACAACCATTTGAGCATCTGAAATAGGTGGGCAGTGCTCTGGGTGTAGGAACAGTGCTTCTATAGGTGCTAGTGCCGTGGGGACCAGAGGATTTAAATGAGCTCACATGTTGCTTATTACAGCCCCCATCATGAAGCAAGATCTGTCTGAAACATTAAAATTTTTTTATTTAAATTTTTATTTTTCAATTACAGTTTACTTTCAATATTATTTTATATTGGTTCCAGGTGTATAGCATAATGCTTAGACGATTATATAGTACTTTAAAAGAGCAAATTTCTGTTTTTATTCTTTTGAACAATTTCTTTATGGATATAGTCCTAGTTTTTGTTTTGTTTTGTTTTTTTAAAAAAACAAAAAAACAGCTCCTTTTCCTTGGCAAGATGATGGAGTACGACTTGACCACTTGCATTGCACACTTTTTGGATCGGCATCTAGTCTTTCCATTGCTTGAGTTTCTCTCCGTAAAGAAGCTTTGAGAGAAAAAAGAACCACAGTTGTTGTACAACTGAAACAGCTTCAGGCAGAAACAGAACCAATTGTAAAGATGTTTGAAGATCCAGAAACTACAAGGCAAATGCAGTCAACCAGGGATGGTAGGATGCTATTTGACTATCTGGCAGACAAGCATGGTTTTAGGCAAGAATATTTAGATACACTCTTGAGGTATGCAAAATTTCAGTATGAATGTGGAAATTACTCTGGAGCTGCAGAATATCTTTACTTCTTTAGAGTATTGGTTCCAGCAATGGATAGAAATGCTTTGAGTTCACTCTGGGGAAAACTGGCCTCTGAAATCTTAATGCAGAATTGGGATGCAGCCATGGAAGACCTTACACGGTTAAAAGAGACCATAGATAAAAATTCTGTGAGTTCTCCTCTCCAGTCTCTTCAGCAGCGAACATGGCTCATTCACTGGTCTCTGTTTTCTTCAACCACCCCAAAGGGCGCAATAATACTATTGATCTCTTTTTTTTTTTTTTTTTTTTTTTTTACCAGCCACAGTATCTTAACGCAATTCAGACAATGTGTCCACATATTCTTTGCTATTTGACTACAGCAGTCATAACAAACAAAGATCTTCGAAAACGCTGGCAGGTGCTAAAAGTTCTAGTCAAAGTTATTCAACGGGAGTCTTACACATATAAAGACCCAATTACAGAGTTTGTGGAATGTTTATATGTTAACTTTGACTTTGATGGGGCTCAGAAAAAGCTGAGGGAATGTGAATCTGTGCTTGTGAATGACTTCTTCTTGGTGGCTTGTCTTGAGGATTTTATTGAAAATGCTCAGCTCTTCATATTTGAGACTTTTTGTCGCATCCACCAGTGTATCAGCATTAACATGTTGGCAGATAAACTGAACATGACTCCAGAAGAAGCTGAAAGGTGGATTGTAAATTTGATTAGAAATGTAAGACTAGATGCCAAGATTGATTCTAAATTAGGTCATGTGGTTATGGGTAGCAATGCAGTCTTACCCTATCAGCAAGTGATTGAAATGACCAAAAGCCTTTCATTTAGAAGCCAGATATTGGCCATGAATATTGGGAAGAAACTTAATCAGAATAGTAGATCAGAGGCTCCAAAATGGGCAACTTAAGATTCTGGTTTCTACTGAAGAACTGTAAAGGAAAGACACAAACACACACACAAAACTATAAAAGAAAGATGAAATAATAAAACAATTATGTAAAGGGTGACATACATTTTAGAAACAACACATTGAGTATACATTTTGGAGAATTTGAATAAAATTGGCTGTGTTTTAAAAAACAAAACAAAAACAGAAGTCTACAGTCCTAGGGGAAATCTCTTTACTAGACTGGTCTCCAAAGAGACTGAACACCTACCAGCAAGGCACATCTGTTTCCTCTTATGGAGTTATTTTTAAAGAATTTCTTGCATGTTGGTTTTTAAGCATACGATGGTGTATCAAAGGTGGTTTCACATTTCTTTAATTGCTGTCAAAAGCTTCACTAATATGCAATCTTTTCTATCCTTTTTAGTTAGTAACTAGTAACTAGATCACCTTCAAGAGGCAAAGAACAAGTGCCTGGGGCTGAATCCCAGCTCTGGCACCTGCTGGCTGTGGGCCAGACTAACTTTCTTCATCTGTCAATTGAGAAAACTAAAACCATCACAGAGTTTTCTGAGGATGCTAATGTTTATAAAACAAAACATGTGTTTTTTAAATAATTTCTAAAGTAGTAAGCATCTTATCAGCCATTTATTTATTTTATTACTTTTTTTGTAGTTGCTAAGTAACTAAAATTTAATAACCAAGGTTTGGGAAATTTTTCCTCAAAAAAATTAAGTCTTGATTTGGTTTGCTATCATTATTTTTGTAGAGAAATTTTGAGTTAATTCTTTAATCAATGTGGAAATTACTTCAAAGTGTCATGTGACATACACCCCAAAGTTCTGTGCCTCCTTGTTAGTCCACCAGTTATTATAGTGTTCTGTTTTCCCTCATTGCACCTAACTTAATTTTTTGCAATTGATTTATTGCTGTAGTGATCAATTCTGGCTTATCAATTTCTGGTCTTATTGTACAAATATGGAACTAGTTGTGTGTGTGCATGCACAAACACATGCGTCTAATTTTGGGTGTATGGGATTACACTCCAACCAACTGAGCCACCTGGCCAGGGCTACATGCGTCAAATTTTTAAACTTGGCTTAGCTACTCCATGGCATCTAGAAATCATTTTCTTATATTTTTCGACTCTAAAATCCATGTTTGAAGAATATAATTCTTATTTCTTTTGGTGACTTTATTATTCTTTCTCAACTAGTTACTGCAAGGACTTGTTTTGTTATGTTTGTTTTTGCAATTACTTTCAGCAAGAAGTTCACTTTTAATCAGAGTTTCTAGATCCAGATTATGATGTCGCACTGCAAGGACTTTGAATGCTCTGGTGTAATGATGGTTGTGTTTTTAATTTTATGTATTATTTTTGATTCCTTGAATATTGAGAGATAGATATATAGCAATACATAATTTTTAATAATTTTCAACTATTGGATATCTTTTTTTACGTGTAGATATTAAAGTTGTTTGATTTCTGTGGGTTACAAACCTCTCTTTAGAGGTTTGTAATGTCAAATATATTTTTGACAGGTAATGTCAAATATATTTTTAATTTTTCTTCTCCATTTCCAGGCCCCTGACATTTATGGGATCACAGACTAAAAGAGTCCTACTCACTCCCCTCATGCATTCCTCTCGCCCTTTCCGAGTCTCCAACCACAGCCGAAGCAGCCGGAGAGGAGTGATGGCCAGCAGTCTGAAGGAGCTGCTCAGCAAGGTACCGTCAGCCCCAGTGCCTCCCACCACTGATCTCAGAAGGCTCAGGGTCTTGGCTTTAACTAAGCTAGTGCAGAGACAGAAATGTCCATGTCTTGGCCTTGAAAAGTCTAAGGGGAACCATTTCTAAAAGGTTAAAGGAGAATGAAAGGAAACATTATTGCATTTTGTACCAAAAGAAATTTCAGCACAGAGACAAAAACCTTAAAAAATAGTCATCAGTTGATAATGTAGCTTTATTTACTTGAAAAGAGAGATTATAGAGAAGCAGCAGACTTTAGAAATCTGTGTTTTGTTATAAAAGCCCGAGAAGAATAGTCCTTAATCTAAGTGCCCTAGATCACCAAATAAGGAAGACTGCATGGAGGCGGAGGCGAACCCAGACGCAGACACCCATGCCAATGAGAAATGAGCATCCAACATGCAGGCTCTGGCTAAGAGACATTCAGATATACCACCCAAGACTTAAGACTCAAGCTCCTTAAATATCATATGCACTGGATTATCCTTTTTATTTTTCAAAATAAGTACGTAATTTTAGAAACTGTAAATTTTATGAAATGTAGTAATTTATGTCACTTCATTGAAATATCTGATGAAGATAGGTCCCTTAAAAATCTTTTTTTTTTTTTAAATCCTCACCCGAGAATACCTTCCCCTATCCCCACCCTCATTTACCTTCAGGTAGAGTGGGGGAGAGAACGAGAGAAAGAGAGGGAGAAAGACAGGGAGAGAGAGAGAGAGAGAAACATCAACGTGAGAGAGACACATAGATTGGTTTCCTCCCACATGACCCTGCAACCGAGGTACATGCCCTTGACTGGAATCAAACTCACGACTCTGGTCCACAGGCCAATGCTCTAACTGCTACGCCAAACCGGCCAGGGCCCTTAAAAATCTTAACCTCTCTTTTTCCAAACCAAGACTATATCATAGACACCAATTAAAGTATATCTTGACCAAATTAGCCAGCTCTTCTGAAGTTATAATGTAATCAATGGCTGTGCATGGTCAAAATGGAATCCCCTGCTCCATTCTGTGTCTCTGATATGTTGCCAACCTAGACCCTGGATGCCCTACTTATCACCAGTGGACTGGTCACTTTGGTGCTGGAGGAAGATGGTACTGTGGTGGACACAGAAGAGTTCTTTCAGACCTTAGGAGATAACACACATTTCATGATATTGGAAAAAGGACAGAAATGGACACCGGTAAGCAAACATACTGTCATCCAAACAGCTACTGGGGTAGACTTTTTACCTACAAATGTGAATTCCCTGCTTTGGTGTTGATTTGCCCACTTTTTAAATATATCTTTTATATCACCTAATAACTGGATCTATTACCCTCAAAGGGATTCTTATAAGTATTTCTAGGAAATGTAGCATCTTTGTGAACTTGGGCTGTTTGATTTAAAGCAAATAATTCTGAGGGATAGGCTTTGGCAGTGAGAAGCTACAGATCTTACTGAAGTCTGTAGATATGACCTGGTGACCATTCACTGTTTCTATCCTTAGAAGGCCAGCAAGCTAACATAGCCAATGAAATTAGGTAGGAGTGTGTGTGTGTGTGTCTATAGTGAAGCGATAAAGTTTTCTATTTCTGGGAAAACTACAGATGACTATATATCTTGAAAACCCTCCCACTAAAAATGTAAAGCAAATATGAAAACATCTTTTTATATGCCTAAATGACCTTCAAGAAAGAGAAATCTTCAGAAGCCAAATTTTCTCTGGGAGCCAGAATCCAAAAAGGAAAGCAACACCACTGAATTTGGCTCTCACCTGTAGGCATCTCACCTGTGGGCATCCACTGACCTCAGTGACTAAGGGTTTTGTTTTGTTTTTGCTGCTGTTAATCCTCACCAGAAGACTCCCCATCCCCCCACCCCCCATTTTTAGAGAGGGTAGAAGGTAAGGAAGCAGGGGAGAAGAGAGAGAGAGAGAGAGAGAGAGAGAGAGACATCTATGTGAGAGAGACACATCGATTGGTTGCCTCCCTCACGTGCTCCCACTGGGGCCAGGGATCAAACCTGCAACCCAGGTATGAGCTCTTAACTGGAAATCAAACTTGAGACCCTTCAGTGCTCGAGCCAACACTCTAAGCACTGAGCAACACTGGCCAGGATGAGGGCTTTGGATTTGATGGATGCTGGGAGGACAGGAGAATAGTCTTAGAGTAACAGAAAGGGGAGTCAGATTAGAGATGTCCGACATAAAGAAAAGAATATTGATGGCTTCTCCTGAGAATCTGTGAAACAGTTGCCCTCATAGGTTACAGGGACTGTTGATTCTAAAATCACCCAAGCTGAAAGTTTAGTTTGCAGAGACCCAGGGAGGAAGCATCAGTGGAAGGAGTTTACTCATTGAATTCTCTTTATTCAAATAGCCTTTCCCTCCAGTCCCAGTAATCCAGGGTTGATATGTAACTAGTAAAAGCAAATAGGCTCAGAATGAACATTGACCTAGGCCTCAGAGAATTTTTGTTCCTAAAGTTCCAACAAATGGGAGTTCACAATAAAACACAAGACATAAGGACTCAGGCACTAAATGAAAGAGTAAGCAGAAATAACAAAATCAGGCCTGCAAAATCCTCAGATGTTATATCATCAGAAACAGTGTAAAATAAGTATATTTAAATTGTTCAAAGAGATATAACAAGTAATCTGAAGTAATAAGGAACAAGAAGAACAATTTAAAACTAGATAGACTCGAAAGAATAAACATAATTTCTAGAAATGAAAAATATAGCAATTCAAGTAAATAAAAACTCGGAGAAGATTATACATAATAATAAAAGACCTGGGAGATATGTCTAAAAAAGGTAACCATGATGTAACGCAAAAACAGAAAGGTAGAAAACAGGAAGGTGGTCAGAGACATAACTGAGAAGATCTAATATATGTTTGTTTGGTATTCTCAATGTGTTATTTTTTCTAATAAAACACAACACACAAACCACTTTTTAAAAATGATAACTTCAACTCCGTTAAGAATTTTGTTTATCAAAAAGTACTATAAAGGAAGTAAAACAATAAGTCACAAGTGGGAAGAAGGTGTTTCCAAGATAATTCGACAAAGGACTAGTATTCCACAAATGTAAAGGACTCACACAAACCAATAAAGGAAACAACAGACAATCCAATAGAAAAATGAGTGAAAAACAGGAACAGGCATCTGCAGAATGGACAATAAAACATAGGAAAAATACTCAACCTCATTGGTGACTAGGAAATCATAAGTTAAGACCATAATAAGATACTCTTTTACACCATTATTAGATTTGGTATTGTTAGGCTTTTAAACATTTTCCATTTTTAAGATATGGAACAATGAACTCTCTTATACTCCCAACAATTACTATGTAAAACAGCTTACTTTTATCCCATGGAGTTGAACTGATCAAGTCCATTCCTAGACATATACCCAGCACAGGATACCCAACCACATGCTTTTATGTAAATACACATAAATGACACACTGTCTTATATTCATTAGATGGAATACTATTCTGCTATGAAAATTAATGAAGTACAGCTATAGACATCTATATGAATAAATCTCATCAACTATGTTGAGTGAAAACATGGCAGAATGATACATTAAGCAAGTGGTCCTCAAACTTTTTGATCTCTCTTTCTACTCTTAAAAATTAATGAAGACTCAAATAGTTTTGTTTCTGTAGATTATATCAATAGAACCTATAGATATTCGTCAATTGGGTTCTCAACTGAGGAGTACTTTGGCCCTTGGAGGACATTTGGCAATGTCTGAAAACTCTTTTGGTGTTTACAACTGAGGCAAGGGTATACTACTGGTATCTGGTGAGTAGCGACCAGAAATGCTGCTAAATATTCTTCAGTGCGCATAAGACAGCTCCCACAATGAAGCATTATCTGGCCCCAAATGTCACAGTGCCAAGGCTTAGAAATGATAAGCTATAGATATAGGTATTTCTCATATTCGAAATTAAAATTGAGGAAAAAAATTTAATGTATTATGTCATTAAAAATAATAACCCAGCCCTGGCCCAGTGGCTCAGTTGGTTGGAGTGTCATCCCATACACCAAAAGGTTGCAGGTTCAATTCCCAGTCAAGGCACATACCTACATTTGATACCTAGTCAAGGCATACAGGATGCAACCAATCATTGTTTCTCTCTCACATCAATGTTTCTCTCTCCTTTCCTCTCTCTCTCAAAATCATTAAAAACATATCCTCAGGTGAGAATTTTTAAAAAGATTAAGAAATAATGATAACCCAATACAGGTTATTGGAAATCACATATTTTTATAACAATAACTATTTTTCAAAATATTTGGTGAGGAGTAAAATTGTTTTACATTTTTGCAAATCTCTTTAATGCCTCATCTAATAGAAGATAGCTAAATTCTCATCTGCTTCTGTAGTCAACTTCTATAATATATTGTTTTGATGGAAGTATGTGAAGAAATTATGACCTTACATATATAGGTAGTTGGAAAGGGGAGTATTTTAATGATCTTTTCTAATGGTTGAGGCTACTCTTCTTTGATACTACATCAAAACGCAACAAGTGGTAGTTTCATAAAGGCTGGCTGCAGTGTAGAATCTGAAGGCATACCTGTGAAGTTTGCCTCATCTGTTACATTGAAACCCATTGCTCTGTCTTGCCCTTTAGTGGATCTTTTTGGTAGGGATGATTTTTAACATTATGCGTTGGTCATTTAGAAAATATTGATTCACTGAGTCATGCAGGTTTCCCAAATGTACAGTGAAGAATGCCACTACTTGTGAGAGAATGAAAACAAAAGGGCAAATTGCATCTTAATGTTTATTATAAAAATAGTTTTAATTTCTCAACCCCTTGAAAGGGTTTCAGGATGCCCCAGGTGTCTCCAAATTACACTTTGAGAAACTCTGCATTTAACCATTTATAGATAATTCAAAAATATATATAATTAGCTATATAATGTTTAAGATATACATGTGCTAAAGATTAAAAAAATAAGAGAATGATGCACAACTTATATGGTTTTCTCTTGAGAAATAGAGGAATATAATTAGGAAAGGCCCATAGAGTGATAACGTTTTGTTTTATGTAGAGTGGGTACACCCATCATCTTATTTTTCCTTATTTTTACATATATTGTATGTCCACTCCTATACCTGTCAAATACTTCATAATTTTTCTAAGTGGAAGAAGAAAACTGTAGACAAATTATAAAAAGCATACAATTTAAAATAAAATATCCTGGATGGCCCCGGAGATGCTTCTGGAAGTGACATCACCATGGCTGCCCAAGGAGCACCCCAAGTTCAGTTCAACTTGTATTGGTTGGTGATGGTGGAAAACTACCTTCATGAAATGGCATCTTACCAGGGAGTTTGAGAAGTATGTAGCCACCCTGGGTGTCGAGGTTCACCCCTTCATGTTCCACATCAACAGGGGACCTATCAAGTTCAATGTGTGGGACACCATAGGCCAGAAGAAGTATGGCGGACTGAGAGTTACAAGAACTGGCATAGAGACCTGGGGCAAATGTGTGAGAACATCCCCATCATGCTTTGTGGCAACAAAGTGGACATTAAGGACAGGAAAGTGAAGGCAAAGTCAATTGTCTTCCACCAAAAGAAGAATCTTCAGTACTACGACATTTCTGCCAGAAGCAACTACAACTTCGAGAAGCCCTTACTCTGGCTTGCTAGAAAACTGACTGGAGACCCTAACTTGGAGTTTGTCACCATGGTCGCTGTTGCCCCACCAGAGGTTGTCATGGACCCAGCTTTGGCAGCACAGTATGAGCACGATCTAGAGGTTGCCCAGACCACTGCTCTCCCAGGTGAGGCCGACGACCTGTGAGGAAGGGAAGCTGGAGCCCAGCGTCAGAAGTCTAGTTTTATAGGCAGCTGTCCTGTGATCTCAGTGGTGCTGTGTTTGCCACTTTATTATAGAGCTAAGCAGAACTTGTGCTTAATCTTTGGGAAGCTAAAGGAGATGAATGGGCTTTGGAGTGAATGTGGCAGTTAAAAATACCTTCATTTCTGGACCTACCTATTTGGCTATTTTGGAACGGAGTTGTTTCTTTGAGTTCAGCTGTAAGAATACTGCAGTTGCATCACAACATCCAGTGGTGGTACCTTGTTTGTTACTGTCATTCTCATACCTTTTGTTTAGAATCAGAATAAAATTGTATTTCAAATATCTAAAAACAAATAAAAAAATAAAATATTTTTAAAGTAGCTGATCATACCAGCAGATTGGAAGATCACGGGGTCACTCAGTTACTATGGGAGATTGGTTAATATGTGACTTGTATAAGCCCCTAGAGTGGGTAGGTGCCAAGCTAAAGTACCAGGCAGTGATAGGGTGTACTGGATACAAATAAGTCTGCAATATGATAGTTCAAGGAGAGGCCTAAAGTCATCTCAGTCTAGTAGTGGTCTGGGTGACATGAGTTTGGGTTGGAGCCTACTCTTGACTTCCACTTTTCAACCATCTTCCTCCAAAGTGGAAATGTGCATCTCAGAGCCAATTATAGATCCTACCCCACTTGGAGGTGTTTTTTTCCAGTGAGCCAATTTTATTCGAGTTGGACAAGAACGTCCAACCCAGAAATCGCCACCAGGGGTCTCCCTTCTTCAGTCTAAATGCCTTAAAACCTGTGAGGAAGTAGCTGCTTCTTTTTTATTTTTTAATTTAAAGTTTTATTATAAGTAGCTTCTTGAAGCACTTTCAGGGAGGCAGTCATTTCCTTCTTTCTTAGTCAGCAGTACAGAACTCCACACGCCCGTGTTGGGTCACAAGCAGATTAGCTTTGTGAGCACATCTTGATTTTAAGACCAAGACTCAAGGAAGCCTTTTAGGGAATGTAAGATAAAAACTTTCAAACAGCAGAAAGGAACACAAGACAATAAAAAAAAGCTATGGCCGAATTATAGATGAAAACCCCTTTTGATTCTGTAATCTTGATTTTTTTTTAATGTTTCCTAAAAGATGGAGAGTTTGCAACCCCTTAAAGTAAAGAGGCTGCAGGACCTCTTGTGCATTAAACATTGGGCAACAACCAGAATCTCTCACTGTGTATGTTCTGTGTGAGAGGAAAGAGTGATTCCAGCAAGAAGGGTTTGAGTACTTCAACAATAAATTGTTTTAACTTCAAATATAGTATATTATCGTCATTATGAATTTAACAGTCATAGCATCAACTACTCCCAAACCCATAGAATCATGAAACTTGACTTATGTACATTTGAATCCTAAATACTGCAAGGTACATGGGAGGGGCAAACACACAGGAAGAGTAGCCCCTGGGTCTGGCATTTGTTCCCTGGGACAGCTCTGTTCTCTTGTTTTTTCAAAGCTCTCAGTGGGGAAGATTATATTGCAGTGATGTTTATAAACACTTTCTCCTCTCAACCTGAAGGGTCTATGATGTTTCTGGTAGACTGATAGTGGATAATGTAAGCAAACAGCTTTCAGTGTGTCCAGAAAGTAAGTTTTCATCCAGGGCAGTTACTAGAAAATAGGGGACGCCCTAGGAAGTTCTCACATTGTACCTTACTGTAGCCATATGATTCTGAAACTTTCTGCCCAGAAACCTCTTATAAAATTGAAATAATGCTGCCTGCTTCTCTTTAAACAGACTGTGTCATAGTCATGAGACCATTCATGTCAATCAAGTAACCATGGTCACCTTCAGTGAAGAGTGTGAGTGCCTCTCAATACCGTGTGTCAATAGCACAACCATTCATTGATATCTGGGTCCTGAAACCAAGACCCCACAGCCGAATCATAGTCATCTGGAGTCTCTAAACTCAAAGTAAATTAAGGAAAGATACTTTCTTATGAGTTTGGACATGGTAGCAATATATACATATTGTTCTGAAAAACATTCCTTAAATAATTAACAGCTTAGTCACTAACAGATTTTAAACTGACAGAGCCAAAACTAGCATTAAACCAGAAGTACAGGATTTGCATGTTATAGGCAGGATGCTCCTTTACGTATCTTCCTCACTTACTGTTCCAGGCTACTAACTACGTGACTGCTCACCAGCAGCCAAAGAAATCAGGAATAGCAAGAGTCACCTTCGACTTGTACAAGCTGAGTCCCAAGGATGTCATTGGCTGCCTCAACGTGAAGGCCACCATGTATGAGATGTACTCAGTGTCCTACGACTTTCGGTGTATAGGGCTCAAGGCTCTGCTGAGGTAACAGACTTTGGGGTCAACTGAGGGGTCTGGAAACTGCATGTGACTTGGTCCAGGCAGACTGTCCCCAGTCAGCCTGTCCCCAGCTTGCTCTTCTGCATCCCAAACCCAGCGCCTCGGAGGCCCTGGCCTGACCGGTCGCTATTGAAGTTCACATAACACATATTGTCAGACAGCAGTGGAACTCTTACGCCAGACTTATTTCAGAAAACAGAAAGTCTTAATTCAAAATATACTTTTTTTCTCCAAAAGCCATTAAATACATAATGGAAACAAAAATTTAATAAATGGAAAGAACCAAATTTCTTTTAAAAACTAGAGCTGTACATTTTTAAAAATTTTTTCTTTATTGATTTTAGAGAGAGAGAAAGGGAAAGGGAGAGAGAGATAGAAACACTGATGAGAGAGAACATCGATTGGCTGCCTCCTGCATACCCCCCACTGGAGATTTGGCCCACAACCGGGGCACGTGCCTTGACCAGGAATCGAACCAATGACCTCTTGGTACATGGGTTGATGCTCAACCACTGAGCCACACAGGCCGGGCTAGTGCTGTACATTTTTAAACCTTAATTCTGAGCAATGACAGCTAAAACCAGAGCCATGGAGAATCTGACCTGGTTTGTACAGAGTAGCCACCCATACCTGGATATTCTTCTGCATGTATTTCTGTATTACTGCTAACTTGAAGCCAGTGGTAAGATGGGAACGTGGCTGGGGCCAGACTGGCTGCCTGGCATCACAGGGGAGCCCATGGAAGACAGATCCCCAATCCATACCCCAACCTATTTGAACAAATTCTTTATGTTCACCAGGAACACTCCTTCAGACACCCTGCACTGAGCCCTGGTCTGAGAGGGACACCCACAGTTCCTCTTAGTCTTACCTCTGGGAAACTAGCTGTGTGACTTTTAACAGGTTACTTCATTTCTCTGAGCCTCTTTTTCATCATCTTTTAAATGAGAAGGTTGCTTTCAAGCTCTTTGTGATTTGCTCTGAATACACCTTTATCTATCCCTTCAGTAAATTTCTCATTGATCCTCTTCAGCACTAATTGTCTGGGGAGGAAGGGATGGAAGGAGACACTGGCAATGGCAGAAGGTCTTTGAAGCTGGTCTAAAGAGGTGGCAACTGCTGACAACAGTGATTTCTCACAGCCTCTTGGGGCAGGGGCCTACCTGCTTATTTGAAGATAATTCTCTCCACTATCCTATAAGGACTGCTCTGATCTTCCCAGAGCACAGGAAGGGAAGTGCTTTGAAAATGAGACTGCTCTCCTCTAACAGGTTTCCAGGGCCTGGCACAAGGTCAGCGCCGTGATGCCTTCTTCGTAGACCTTGTTTCCCACTTAGAACTGTCAGTGGCTGACTCCTAGACAACTGTTACTGTCCTAGTGGTGGAATTGTGACTCCCAGGAGAGCGTCCTCTTTTTCCTGAGACGGGAGATAATATCTCGATTGCTTGACTTTCAAAGTCAGACAGGAGAGTTACAACTTAGAAAAGTATAGTAAAGAAAGTAAACCTGACCTCACTCCAAACTCAGCCTTCTTATCACTAATTCTTACCACCTGATAGATCTGATGACACCACAAACAGCTACAGAAGTCACAAAGGCCCCAAAAACGAAGGCATCGCCTGCCAGGGCCCCACTATGGGACATCAGGAGCAGAGAGCTGTTCCAAAGAGCACAGCTGAGCCCTAGATTTGAATGTCCTTATAAATTGACATGCTTATTTTTATTTTTTATCTTTATTGTTGAAAGTATTACAGATGTCCCCCTTATCCCCCCATTGACCCCTCCTTGCTGTACCCACCCCCTCCAGCTTTCCCCAAACTATTGTCTGTGTCCATTGGTTGTGCATATATGCATATAAGTTCTGTGGTTTATCTCTTCCCACCCCTCAATTTCCTTCTCTCTGAGGTTTGTCAGTCTGTTCCCTACTTCTGTGTCTCTGGATCTATTTTGTTCAACAGCTTATTTTGTTCATTATATTGCATAAATAAGTGAGATCATGTGGTACTTATCTTTCTCTGACTGGCTTATTTCACTTAACATAGTATTCTCCAGCTTCCTCTATGTCATCTCAAAGGATAACAGATCTTTCTTTCTTACAGCTGCATAGTGTTCCATTGTGTATATGTATCACAGCTTTTTGGCCACTCATCTATTGATGGACACTTGAGCTGTTTCCAGATCTTAGCAATTGTAAATAGTGAACATAGGGGTACATATATTCTTTCTGATGGGTGTTTCAGACTTCTTAGGATATATTCCTAGAAGTGGGATCGCTGAGTCAAATGACAGTTCAATTTTTAATTTTTTGAGGTAACACCATAGTGTTTTCCATAGTGGCTGAGCCTCAGTCTGCATTCCCACCAGCAGAGGACTAGAGTCCCCTTTTCTTCACACCCTTGCCAGCATTTGTTGTGTGATGATTTGTTGATGGCAGCCATTCTGGCAGGTGTGAGGTGATACCTCATAGTCAGTCATTTTAATTTGCATCTCTCTGATGATTAGTGATGTTGAGCATTTTTTCATATGTATCTTGACCATTTGTATGTCCTGTTTGAAGAAGTATCTATTCAGGTCCTCTACGCATTTTTAATTGGTTTGTCTTTCTTTTGTTGAGTCGTATGAGTACTCTATATATTTTGGAAATTAAGCCCTTATCTGATGTATCATTGGCAAATATGTTCTCCCAGAGTGTGGGTTTCCTTTTCATTTTGATGCTGGTTTCTTTTCCATGAAGAAGCTTTTTATTTTGATGTAGTCCCATTTATTATTTTATTCCTTTGTTTCTCTTGCCCTAGGCAACCTATCAGTGAAAATCTTGCTATGTGTGATGTCTGAGATTTTGCTGCCTATATTTTCTTCTAGAATTTTTATGGTTTCATGATTTACATTTAAGTCTAGTATCCATTTCAATTTATTCTTGTGTATGGTGTATGTTGGTGGTCTAGCTTCATATTTATTTTTGCATGTAGCTGTCCAGTTTTCCCAACACCACTTATTAAAGAGGCTGTCTTTACTCCATTGTATGCTCTTGCCACCTTTGTCAAATATTAATTGAGCATAATGTCTTGATTCATTTTCTGGGTTCTCTGTTCTATTTCATTGATCTATATGCCTGTTCTTGTGCCAGTACCAGGTTGCTTTGATTAGGATGGCTTTGTACTATAACCTGATATCCAGTGTTATGATCCCTCCAACTTTATTCTTCTTTTTCAAGATTTCTGTGGCTATTCAGAGTCTGTTTTGGTCCATATAAACTTTTGGAGTATTTGTTCTAGATATGTGAAATATGCCATTGGTACTTTAATAGGGATTGCAATGAATCTGTAGATTGCTTTGGGTAGTATGGACATTTTAATGATGTTGATTCTTCTGATCCATGAACATGGTATATGCTTCTACTTTTTTATATCTTCTTCTGTTTCTTTTTTCAATGTCTTGTAGTTTTCTGAGAACAGGTCTTTTACCTCCTTGGTTAAGTTCATTCCTAAGTATCTTATTTTTTTGTTGTTGTTGTTGCAATGGGAAATGGGATTGTTTTTTTAGTTTCCCTTTCTCAGTGTTCATTATTGGTGTATAATAATGGCCTTGATTTCTGTATGTTAATTTTGTACCCTGCTACTTTGCTGAATTCATGTATTAAATATAGTAGATTTTTGATGGAGTCTTTAGGGCTTTCTATGTACAATATCATGTGATCTGCAAATAATGAGTTTTACTTCCTCCTTTCCATTATAGATGCCTTTTATTTTATTTTATTTTTTCTTGTCTAATCAAGCCTTTCAGAACTATGTTGAATAAGAGTAGCAAAAGTGGGCATCCCTGTCTTATTCCTGTCCTTAAAGGAAATGCTTTTAGTTTTTGCCCATTGAGTATGATGTTGGCTGCAGGATTTTCATATATGGCCTTTATTATGTTGAGATATGATCCCTCTATTCCCACTTTGCTGAGCATTTTTATCAGAAATAAGTGCTGAATTTTGTCAAACGCCTTTTCAGCATCTATTGATAGAGCTTATGATTTTTATCTTTCTTTTTGTTTATGTGACATATCACATTCATTGGTTTGCAAATATTGGTTTGCCTTGCATCCTTGGGATGAATCCCACTTGGTTGTGGGAATAATTTTTTTTAAATATATTGCTGGATCCTATTTGCTGATATTTTGTTGAGCACTTTGGTATCTTTGTTCATCAGGAATACAGTCGGCCCTCATTTATTGTGATTAATCAGTTCCAGACTCTACCACGATAAATGAATTTCCGTGAAGTAGGATTCTTTATTTATATACAGTCATCCCTCACCACTTCATGCTTCGACTTTCACAGCTTCACTCTATTGCAGTTTTTTCAAACACAGTATAGCTATATTTGAAAAAACCACAATAGAGTGAAGCCGCAAAAGTCAGAGCGTGGAGTGGCGAGGGACAACTGTATTGAACCATAGTTTTCTTTCTTTGTAGTGTCTCCATCTGGTTTTAGAATTAGAGGTATGCTGGTCTTCTAAAAACAGCTTGGAAGTCTTCCTTCCTCTTGAATTTTTTGAAATAGTTTGAGGAGAATAGGTGTTAATTCTTCTTTGAATGTTCAGTAAAACTCCCCTGTAAACCTGTCCAGACCGGGGCTTTTGTTTTCTGGGAGTTTATTGATTACAGCTTTAATTTCCTTAGTTGTTATTGGTCTGTTCAAGTTTTCTGACTCTTCCCAGTTCAGTTTTGGAGGACTGTGTGATTCTAGGAATTTGTCCATTTCACCAGGGTTGTCCAATTTCTTGGCATATATTGTACATAGTATTTTCAAATAATGCTTTGTATTTCTGTGGTATCAGTTGTTATTTCTCCCCTTTTGTTTCTGATTTTGTTTATTTGGGTCTTCTCTCTTTGTTTCTTGGTGAGTCTGGCTAAATGTTCATCAATCTCGTTTATCTTTTCAAAGAACTAGCTCTTGGTTTCATTGATCTTTTGAGTTTTTTTGTTGGTTTTTTTTTTTTTTAGTCTCTATGTAATTTATTTCCACTCTGACCTTTATTATTTCTTTTCTTCTACCTTCTCTGGGTTTTTCTTTTTGTTCACTTTCTAGTTCTTTAAGTTGTAGGGTTAGATAGTCTATTAGAAATTTTTCTTGTCTCTTGAGGTAGGCCTGTAGTGAGTGCTATGAATCTTCCTCTCAAGACTGCTTTTGCTGTGTCCCATAGATTTTGTGTTGTTGTGTGTTTATTTTTATTGATTTCCAGGAAGTTTTTTATTTCTTCCTTGGAACAAAATGTTGGTACAATATTCATTCATTGTTAAATAACATGGTATTTAGCTTCCACATGTTTGAATGTTTTTGAGTGTTTTTATTTGTAATTAATTTCTAATTCATGCCATTGTGTACTAAGATAATTGATATGATTTCAATCTTCTTAAACTTGTAGATACATAGTTTGTGACCTAACATGTGGTCTGTCTTTGAGAATGCCCCGTGTGCACTTGAGAAGAATGTGAATTCTGCAGTTTTGGGATATAATTCTCTGTAGATATCTATTAAATCCATCTGATCTAGTGCATCATTTAGAGTCTTTGTTTTCTGGTTAATTTTTTGTCTAGAGGATCTATCCAGTGATATTAGTGGGGTGTTGAAGTCCCTAGTATGATTATATTGCTATCAGTTTCATCTTTTAAGTCCTCCAGAAGTTTTAAAATATATTTTGGTGCTCATATATTGGTTGCACATATGTTTATTAAGGTTATAGCCTCCTGTTGGATTGATCCTTTTAATATTATGTAGTGGCCTTCTTTGTCTCTTGTTATGGCATTCATTTTGAAGTCTATTTTATCAGACATGAGTATTGCTACCTTAGCTTTTTTTTTTTTTTTTTTTTTTTTCATTTTATTGGAATTTTTTTTTATTCCTTCACTTTCAACCTATGTGAGTCTTTTGTTGTGATGTGGGTCTCTTGTAGACAACATATATATAGGTCATGTTTTCTTTTTAGTTTTTAATTTTTTTTCCTTATTGATTTTAGAGACACAGAGGAAGGGAGAGGGAGAAAGAGATAGAAACATCAATGTGAGAGAACATTGATTGGCTGCCTCCTGCATGACCCCCACTGGGCATTGAACCCACAACCTGGGCATGTGCCCTGACCAAGAATCAAATCCATGACCTCTTAGTGCATGGGTCAACATTCAACCACTGAGCCACACTGGCTAAACTAGGTCATGCTTTATTATCCATTTATCTACTCTGTGTCTTTTTCTTTTTAATATATTTTTATTGATTTTTTTAGAGAGAGAGGAATGGAGAGACAGGTACAAACATCAATGTGAGAGCTGCCTCCTGCATGTCCCCTTCTGGGAATCAAACCTACAACCTGGGCATGTATCCTGACTGGGAATTGAACTAGGAACCTCTCAGTCCATGGGACAACACTCAATCCACTGAGCCACACCAGCCAGGCTACTCTGTGTCTTTTCATTTGAGGATTTAACCATCTACATTTAAGGTTATTACAGATATGTTCTTATTTACTGCCATTTTTATTTAGTATGCCTATGTTTCTGTTTCTTCTGCTTATTACAGAAGGCCCTTTAATATTTCTTGCAAGGCTGGTTTGGCCTTAATATATTCCCTTAGCCTTTTTGTGTCTGGGAAGCTCTTTATTTCACCTTCTATTTTGGATTATAGTCTTGCTGGATAGAGTAGTCTTGGATTCAGATCCTTGTTTTTCATTTTCTTTAATACTTCATGCCATTCCCTGCTGGCCTGTAGTGTTTCTTTTGAGAAATCAACTGACAACCTTAAGGGAGCTCCTTTGTAGATAACCTGTTGCTTTTCTCTTGCTGCCTTTAATACTCTCTTTGTCTTTAATTTTTGGCATTTTAATTATGATGTGTCTTGGCATGAGCCTCTTTGAGTTCTTCTGGCTTGGGGCTCTCTGTGCTTCTTGAACTTGTATGTCTTTTTTATTCACCAAGTTAGGGAATTTTTTTGACACTATTTCTTCAAATAGAGTCTCTAATTCTTGCTCACTTTCTTTTTCTTCTGGCACTTTTACGATGCAGGTGTTGTTATATTTCATATTATAGCACAGCTCTCTTAAACTGTCCTGTTTTTTAATTGTTTTTTTTTTTTTTTAGGTTCTCCAATTGAGTGATTTTTTATTCTACCCTGTCTTCAAATTCACTGATCTAATCTTCAGCTTCCTCTAATTTGCTGCTTATTCCTTCCTATGTCATTCTTAAGCTTTTATCTTTTTAAATTATTATTATTATTATTGATTTCTTAGAGAAAGACATGAAAACATTGATGAGAGAGAAAGACATTCATCAGCTACCTCCTGCATGCCCCCTATGGGGAATTGAGCCCACAACCCAGGCATGTGCACTGACCGGAAATTAAATTGGGACCTCTCAGTCCATGAGACAATGCTTAATCTTCTGACTCACACACTGAGCCAACATCTCCCTGTGGATATCAATGTTCTATAGATTGTGGCTCTCTCTGCTGGGTTTGGATGTGTATGGAAGGGACCAAGCTGAACACCAATGTCTGCTCTTAATCTCCCAGGTAGTCTCAGGCCAGGCAAAATTTATGTATCTCAGAGTCTCTGCCTGCAGGTTGACTCTAAATCTCAGTCACTTAATGAACCTCAGGTTGTAGCCTTCAGCTGAATGAAAATTCCACCAGATGGGCAGGATAAGAGGATTTCCAGAGGGTGAGGCAATTAATTCCCCGCAGGATAAAGCTGTTTTGAGAGGATAACTGTGACTGAGAAGAATGGTTTATGCAGTGTGGGTTAATGACTCAGCACAGGGAGCCAGGCCTCAGTCTTCACAGCTTGGTCCCCAGAGCCACAAAACCTAATAACCACGAGATGAGAGATGGGCCCAAGGCTCAAGGGCCCAAGGCTCAAAGTGCCCAGAGACTTGTCTCTGCCTGTAGGCTGTCTGGTAGCCTCTGACAGTTAATGAGCCTCAGGTTTCAGTTCTGTAGTTCTGTGCTAGGTGCTGACTCCTCCCAGCTGGTCAGGGTTAAATTCCAATGTGTGGGGCAGTTGCTTCCCCAGGCTATAGCTGCTTTGATGGGAAAACTCTGCCTGAGAAAAATGGTTTCTGCAGCATAGGTCAATGGCTCAGCCCAGGGGCACAGGCAGCTGCCTTCGCAATTCAGCTCGGTGGTCCCCAGATCCCCAGAAACCCAACAATTGAGAGCCAGGCCCAAGGATTAAAGCATTCAGAGACTCATCTCTGCCTACTAGCTTGTTGAGAGTCTCTGACAGTTAATAAGCCTCAGGTTGTGCTTCTCCTGGCCAGGCCCCCAGGCAGGGTTAAATTCCAAAGAGTGGGGCAGTTGCTTCCCCCTCCCCAGGCTAAAGCCACTCTGATGGGAAAAGACTGCCTGAGAGAAATGGTTTCTGTAACGTGGGGGAATGACTCAGCATAGGGCTCCCAATGGCCTCCCTCCCAGCTCTCTCCCCAGCACCATGAACCCCCGACTACCCTCATGCAGCTCTAATCCAGTCCAGCCTCCCTCTGCCAGAGTCCAAGGTGAGTGGTTATAGCTGTAATTTAGTGCACGGGCCCTTCAGGTGGGTGCCCATGTTCCTAGCTCCTCTCCCTGCCAGGTGTTTTTCACAGCCAAGTGTTATGTGGGCGCCTTTCCCTGTTCCACCACTCTGTGCTGGGGACTCAGCTTGAGGTTTAAACCCCGGACTTCTCAGAGGGAACTTCTCAAGACTAAGACAGCCCTCAGCTGCTGCCTGTGGGAGCCCAGCCAGCCCTCTCCTGCCTCCACACCTCCTATCAGTCTCGATGTGGGCTCCTCTTTCTATCCCTGATTATAAGGGTTCTCTCCAGCTGGTCTTCACTTGGTTATTCCAGATGACTTTTCTTTATTTTAGTTGTAATTCTAGTTTGGTCTTGGAAGATGGTCAGTGTAGCTTCCATTCACCCTGCCACCGTTTTTCCTGTTTTGAAGTGACAAGCTTTAAAACTGGAATGAAGCCCTTTAGCTTTGAACTTGGTAGAGAATAAGAATTTGAGTTAGAGCTATTATTTTAGTCTGAAATAACATGAGTGCCAGACTCAGCCTTAGGATTTAAATGCCACAACAGGTCAAGTTGGGATGTCCCAACCACCTTAAGCAAACTGGGTCATAGAATCACAACTGCAGTTTGTGTAAGCCTCTCCTCCAGCCTGATTTCTCCATTCACTCCTTACTTGACTGATTTCAGTAACAGGCCCCACTCACCCAAGCCACCAGAATAGGCAAGTAGCCAAAGGATAGGACATAATGTATGCTCTGAGGAGCACAGTCTGCCTACTCAGCTCTTTCTAGTTACTGAACAATAGGCCACATTTGGAAATGGCTAGTGGAAGAGTAATCCTGGTCAGTGTCATCAGTATCACCTGGGAACTCAACCATAAATGCAGACTTTCAGGTCGTGCTCAGACCTCCCGAGTCAGCATCTGTGTGTTGGCTAACCCAGGCAGGACTGGGGGATGTGAGCATTGCCTATTCTGTCTTTTCTTCACTGGCTCAGAACTCCAAGCCTGATGCATATCCTTGTCCCTTCTGTTGCAGGAGCCTGCTGAGGTTCCTGTCCCATGCTGCCCAGGTGACCGGACACTTTCTCATCTACATGGGCAAGCACATGCTCCAAGTGCTGGGTGACACAGAAGAGCAGACTTCTCCTGGGTTGCGCTCCAGGCAGAAATTCACGGTTAGATAGGATTGCACTTTGAGGGGCTTAGCAGGCCTTGACCCATACATTCCTTCTCAAATGACAAAATTTGAAGATGCTTATGTTCACTTATGCACTATATACACATACACTTGTAGTCTGTTCGTCACTTCTGCTCAGGAGTGTACTCAGGTGAAAGAAAAGGGGCTTGATGACACATGACACAGGGGTGGAGGCTTTGCAGTAGGATGCCTGAGGGGGAGGAGACTTGTAGGTGCCCCAATGTGGGGAGGAAGGGACCCAAGAGCAGGAATGTCTTGGGTGGTTAAGGAGCAATACCACATGCATTAGGCCCTTTTGGCTTCTCACCTCCTGCCATAAACCAATCACAAAAGTTATTTGTAGAATACTCTCTGGTGTCTCTTTCATCTTCCAAAAAACAAATAAAACTTTCATATAGAAGCAAACTCAGCCAGAAATCTTTTGCTAACAGATATAATCACTTTTAAGTCTTTATTAGTACTTGATGTGGCAGAAATAATGAGCTGTCAAATGTTACTGTGGGTTTTGTTTTTTTTTAATGTGGGTCCTGAATGAGCTCAAAAGGACCCAAAAGCTTAAGGAAGGTCTTCAAGCAGCACTTTCAGCCTTTTACTTAAAAAACAAAAACAAACTACTTGACACCGAGATCTGATGCATGATGCTAGTGGATCATGTCTTCCCTTCCTAATGTCACCTGTTCTCAGTTGGGACCTTTGATTACAAGTGACAGAACTCTGACTCAGGCTGCCATAAGCCAAGAGGCAGCCAAGGAGCACGGTGGGGCCTCTAGATGCAGGCACAGCAGACCTGTGCATCCAGACAAGTGGCCAGGAATCTGTCTCTTCAGTTCGTGGTCCAGTTTTCCTGAGTTGGCATCATTTTCAAGCAGGCACTTCTCACGTGGACGTAAGATGTCAGCTCCAGAGCAGGAGGTCCCGGGCTGCCTCCAGAGGGTCTCCCTGAACCGGCCCCTCACCACGGTCACTGCAGCTGGTGTGACACAGAGCTGCATGCCGGATCCCACAGACGGGGAAGACTAGCCCCAACCATATTGATTAGGTGGGGAGATGTGGCTCCCTGAAGGAAATGGGGGTGCTGCTACTAGCATAAGCATAACAGGTGCTAGGAGACAAATCTACCCCTGTTCAGATTTGTGGGTTTCCTATTAAGAAATGTTGCCACAAAGACCTTTCTCCTTTGCTGGCTGACAGCTCAGGCACAGTGAAAAGATGCCATAGTCTGTCCTGGAACCTGGGGGATCCCTGCACCCAAACCATTTCTGTGGCTCCTGCCCCACTGCAAACCTTCTCCAGTGAGCCTAGACAGTTCCTCCATTCACAAACACAGTCCAGAGTCCCCCTCTTCACCCGGACACCAGTGTCCACTCCAGGCCTGGGCTGGCACTGTGTCTGAACTGCCTACTTGGAGAAGTGGGCCAGGAAACTGCAACCCACAGGCAGGAGGGGTGACATAAAGGAACCCCCGTGGCATTCCTCAAAACTCAGCCTCTGCTTCTGACAGTGAAAATAGAATCAGATTGCTGCTGGAAAGGGGAATTTCTCAGACTGCTCAAATGCAATTCCTGTGCTGTCGGTGAGAGCCTGCTTTGTCGTCCGCTTGCTATATAAGGAGCCCTGCCGAGAGCCCCTCCCGCAGCCCAGCTGAAGTCTGGGTTTCAGTGCCCCAGAAGCTGCTCACAGCTCAGGCAGAGACTCGGGCACCTTCCAAGGAGTGCTCCTCCTGCTCTTGCTGACTTGGGCTTGCGTCACTTCCCAAGGATTTGACAGTCCTGGAAAGTGACTGCCCGGCTTCCAAAAAAGGAATTTTCCCTGAACTGCCTGATCCCGTTGGCTCAGACACTGCTCTTACTTGGCGTGTCCTTTTCCTCACGACATCCAGAGGGCACCCTGACCTGTTTTAAGGAGGAATTAGGCAAAAGGAAAATGTGGGAGAGCCATCTCGCATTGAAAGGAGAGTTAATTCAAAAGAAGGACTCCAGAATTTGGGAGTCTGAACATGCTGAGAACTTCCACCTATTCTGTGACTTACTGGGACAGCCTGGGATGGTGAGGCCTCTCCAGAACTCTGAAAAGCTCACAGGGGCTCGAGGCTCCTATGCACAAGGCCAGTGGGGAAAGGGATATGAAGGCTGATTCTGCTGACATCAAGGGCTTTGGAGAGTTTTTTTTGTGAGATCGTTGATGGGAGAAAACCTGCTGCATTTATGGGAAGGGTCCCAACAGGTGCTGCTCCCTCCAGTCTGGTTCAGATTAGGCGACATGCATTCCAAACATGACACTTTCTTGTTCTAATCTTAGTTTCCTGATAATCCACATTTAGCCTGCTAGCTCAGAGAAGGGCGTGGTCCCGTGGTTGGCAGGGCCGGGTGCCGCTTCCACTGCAGCTTACCTGGCTGTGCTGTCAACCGCACCACGCGAGGACTCTGAGGAGATGGTGTTGCAGGGTTTCAGATGGCATCCATAACTACGTCATTAGCTGAATCTGCACTGGTGGCCTGTGTCCATTTCAAGGTCTCAGGGGTTTTCTGTGTGCTCAGTGGGGCCAAGTTCCAGAGCTCCAATTCATTGACTTCTAGAATCATAATTTAGAAAAACAGGAAATCATTCCCATGGCTCAGTGTTCATGACCTTTCCGTCTGTGTGCACTTTGATGTCTATCAGTGTGCCCCTATTTGCAAGGTGCACATACCCCTACATATCCTGGCATGGATTACATTCAGGGTGCACTGTCTGCAGTGAGCGGGAACAGAGCATAGGCCTGGCAAGAGCTAAGGGTGTTAGAATGAGGTATTCTAAAAGCCATTACCTCATGGCCGAAGACAGACTCTGGTCTCTTCCTTCGTCTATAAGATTCAGATCAGAATGAAATGGTTCAGGAATTCCATTCCCAGACAGGTTTTCTTAGCACAGTTTTAAAAATGTAAACAGAGTGCCTTTTGCCAGCCTGATACTTCACAGTTCACCACAGTTCTGCTCTTCTCCCAGCCTTGGCGAAGGCATCTGTCACCCAGCTTGTTCCTGGGCCCCAAGTCAACGAAGTTGCTGTAGGTTTTTTTAGACTAGAATCCTAAAGATAGGATCCATTTCCACAAAAGAAGTTCTCTTTCTCCTCACATGGGGCAGCATCCATATGCTTTTCTTCCTACACAGAGGTATAAGTCCACCCTTCAGAGTTGCACCTTTCACAGAACCACAGGTTGGCCCTGCCTAAGCCTGGCCCACCTGGGGACATAGGGTTCCTTTCCTTCAGTGCCTGAGACTTGTGGGAGTGTGGCCTTTCTTCGGGAAGCTGGGCCTCGCCTGCTCTCAGCCTAGGAACCAGCCACAGACAGGGATCTGCCTCCAAATCCAAGGAGTGCTGCTCCCACTCAGGTGTCTGTCTCCTTCTCCCACTCCTCTGGATAAAGAACTCGTATGTGAAGAAAACGTTGGGCCCTGGCTGGGTAGCTCAGTTGGTTAATGCATCATCCCAATATCCCAAAGTTGTGGTTTGATCCCCAGTCGGGCACATACAAGACTCAACCAATGAATGCATAAATAGGTGGAACAACAAATCAGTGTCTCGCTCTTGCTCTCTCTCTTTCTCTCTCAATTTAAAAAAAAAGAGAAAATTTTGGGCAGCTTCCCCTCTCCCTTCTGTCACCTTTCCCTTTTGGGACTCCTGTTCCTTGCTACAATTATCTTATTTTCTGTAAAGGAGTTGGAACACCTGGCTCATTTGGGGGACTCATAGTTTGGTCACACCCTGAAAACAGTACAACCCTCAGGGGACTCCTTCACTGAAGCCTCAGAGAGGGGCCAAGGTCAAAACATGCTGCAAACTGCTCCAAGCTCTTAGAGCAGGTTTAAGTCACAGTCCACAGACTCACCTGGGCAAAGAGTGGAGCTTTTTTCACCCCAACATGTGTGTGTGTGTGTGTGTGTGTGTGTGTGTGTGTGTGTGTTTAAATATATACAACATTTAAAGAAGTGTGGCTTTTTAAATGTGATTGTCAGTGTACTACTTTTTATTTCAAACCTCCATTCCTCTGAGTGGTCTCTCCCCACCCCACAGGTCTTCTAGAGGCTAACGTGCCAAGGCACTGAGGAGACATACTCTGACCATCAGGGGTTGTGTCCCATCCAGGCCTCCCTCAAGATGCCCACTGGCTGTGACCTTTGGAGGTCAGTCTGTGAAGGTCATACTGCATCCTCCCTGCCCATCCTGCATAGTCTTCATGCCACCACTGCTCAGAACCAGGTTCTCCTTGGCCACAGAGGCAAACATTCTGCCACACCACAGCCAGGCCAGGACACAAGGGCCACCACACAGCCATTGTGGTGTCAGGCTCCTGGTCTGTGCAGGGCGTGACAACTCCATTGTGTGCGACAGAGGAAGACAATTATGATGGTATTATTTTCAAGCCACACACCAACACCTGCCTCACTGGTGTGTATTTAGACCTCAAAAACACAAACAAATAAAAATTTAGCCCTGGCTGGTGTGGTTCAGTTGGTTGGAGCATCATCCTATGATAAACTGGAGAGTCGTGCTTTGATTTCCAGTCACAACACATACCTAGGTTGCAGGTTCAACTGATTACTGTATCTCTCTCACATCGATGTCTCTCTCTCTCTCTCCTCCTCCTCCCTCCTTTCCCAAAATCAATTTTTAAAAAATCTAAAAGGCTCTGGTCGGTTTGGCTCAGCGGTTGGAGCGTCGGCCTGCGGTCCAGAAAGATCCAGGTTCGTTTCCCGCTAAGGGCATGTACCTCGGTTGCAGTTTGTCCCTGGCCCTGGTTGGGTTGTGTGGGTGGCAGCCACTCGATGTGTCCCTTTCACGCCGATGTTTCTCTCTCTCTCTCTCTCTCCCTTCCACTCTATCTGAACAAAAAATTAAAAACTGTCCTCGGTTGAGGAAAAAAAAAATCTAAAAGGATGTTACTTTGACTCTTTCCTGTACCTAATTCACCAGGGTTCCCTCCAAATGGTATTTTGCTTTAGAAATGATCACCTTTCTCTTCAAAGGATAAAACATGCCCAGGTGACACAGCGTTCAGATCAGGAAGGCTCCCAAGGGCCAAACTTTCATCTCAGCATGAATCACAGATTCATTGGTGTGTGCAGAGACGCCTCTACCCCACCCCACAAGGGAACCCTGTGCTCTCTCCAAACCCTTGGCACTAACACTTTCAGGGGTGAAACCCTCACAAAAGCAGCTCATCCTACTTGTGGACAGTTCTGTTAGTCTGGGGGGTTTTTTGTTTGTTTGTTTGTTTGTTTAGCCCAATATCTGGATCCCTAAAGCTTTGCCCACAAGTTCTATTTCTGTGCTCTTGAATTATAAAAAATAAATCTTATCTATTTCCCCAGACACTGTGTCTAATTTTCTCCGAAGTACCGTCTCCAGCCCCTACCACTCCTTCACCAGTCACCTGGGCAGC